CACTTACTTATTCTAATTTTAACCCAAGTAAATAAAAAAATTCCGTACGTGTAAAGTAAGTGTAGTGTAAGGTAAATAAAACCGTTTAATAATGTAAAGCGGAACAAACAGTATGGACATGCGTCATGTATATTATTAAACATCATGCCTATACGACCTTGGACTTCTTCGTTATCCTTATCTGTACTAGACTATAAAATGAAGTACACACTTTGTGTATTTCACTCCCAAAAATTGTCACCCGTCTCCGATGCATCGCGGGTAATATTTTTCGGATGGCATGGGTACTAAAGCCTTCAGGGGAAAAACGTTAACGCGTTGTAATTGACAAGTAGCGACATCTATCGGGGGGAAATATATACAACGAGTGATTTGTAGAGTAATTTATTTTACGGTTTACTTAAAGACAGGCGTTAAGTAAGGAAATTAACAAAGTACGTGTATTACACGTACTTTGGCCATAAATAACAGGCTGCTCAATATAAGTATTAATTTAACACAAATGATGGTTCGTGTTAACATTAGCATTATGTTATTTATTGTTCTCAAATAAGTGACGATGGCTTTAATGACAAATATAGTACGGCGTCGGGGGTCGTGGGTTCGATTCCCACACGAGACAACTATTTGTGTGTCCCACAGATAGTTGTTTCGCATCTGGGTGTTTGTCCGCGTGAAATTTATGTTTGTAAAACGTCCTTACAACACAGGATAAAGTTATCCTAAAGTAAGGGGAATGTTTTAAAAAAATTAAATAAAAATTTTTTTGTACTGTTCTAAAGAAAAATTGGCGACACACCTTTTAGAGAAAAACTATGAAAGTTACATAATTTCAAAGGAATAGAAAAGCTCATAAGAAAGTATATTTTAGTGCAATAGGCTGCAACTACATTGTTTGTACTAAAGACTATACGGCGTGCTAAGTAGGTTTCAATTTTGAGACTAGAATGTCAACGCATTTGTGAAACGGAAGTTGGAAGAAAGTTCATGCTTTAATATCATCTAAAATTACATAATTGTGATTATGTAATTATTTATTATACCTTACCCTAAACCGGTATTATAGGACTTGAATGCAAAATAATACTAAATTGGTAATCTCCTAGTCTCAGGTACGTACTTAAAACCTTTGAATTATGAAATCGAAACAACTGAAAAATTATAACTTTAAAATTATGTTACAATTAAAATTAAAACTATTAAGAGATGGCACTATCGTAAATACTCGATACATAAGATAACTTACTTTAAATATTGCGATGTACGTAAGTAGTATAATTAACTAATATAAAAGAATGTTAATTAAAATCCAAAGCCCTAAGGTGAATAAAGTTATTAAGCAAATTCAAGGGACGCCGTGCCATATTTCAAGTTTATCCATTCGCACATTTTGTTAATTTAAAAAGTTGAGTAATTTTGTTTGCTTTAAGCTGTTAACTGTATTAATACTATGCTGAAGTCAGCATCGATAAAAAAATCGTAAGAATAACGCAAAACTTTGGCCATTAAAGAAACAGTGATGTTATGGAAAGGGACACGTTTTCCAAATCAAGGGAAGAAAGATCCCTGAACGGTGTAAAGTTTAATTATGCTTAGTTTAAGGGATGAATGCGATAAAATTAAATGGCCAATTAGCATTAATGATTTTTTTAAAGTGGTGCGGTTTATTCTCAAAAGAGTTATTATTCAGTTATTTGGGAGAGTTTTTACAATACTAGCAGTGTGTCTTATGAGTTTTATCAATGACTTGTGAGATGAATTTTTACAATTACTAATCAGTAACTTTTTTTACTTTACTTCATTCACCTTAAGGTACATTCTGTAAAATATTAAAATCAAAGTTTAGGTTGAGTTGTATTTGTCGGTCGAAAAAGGTTTAATAGATAACTTTCTGTTTCTTTCTCTTACATCTCTTTTTCCTAGAGATAATCAGACGAAATGAGTGGAATGAGTTTTGGTGAGCTCGAGCCACACACCCGTTTATAGTAGAAGTCTTCATGATTTTGCATTTCGCTTGGCGACCGAGGCAGCAGGAACTTACCGTCTTAAAGCTATGACTATGTGGGTATCCCTAGGCCTTTATTGAAACAACGGTCAGTTTGTTGCTTTCTCCCATGAGAAATAATAAATAACACCATAGCTTAGGATAGAGGGCGGTAACGACCTAGTGTCATAGATTTTTGTCTGTCATTTATCTTAATATCGGATGCCAATCGTATCTTTGGTTATTATCAAGGAACTTGTCATCGACTAAGTCCCATTGCTGGGGGTCAGTACATCATTTTAAAACAAAATATAAAAAATGGATTCTGATGCAACAACAGCTCTCTGGTACCACATGATAATATATTTTAAGGGCGGATTATATTTATCATTATGTTTTAATTTCATGGTGAAGTTTTTTTAGCTATTGTTACTTTTTTTCCCATGACTATTATATTTTAGTTTTCAATACTTAAAATTTTAAAAGTGTTCTGTCAGTCTGTGTAATGTCAGGCTGGGGTAGAATATCAGTGTTGTGCACAATGTAACAAACCTGAACCCCAGACCTTTTAGTCTAAAATCTGACTAATATTTTAAGTTACTTGTACCTACATTATTTGTGATTTTAGACCAATAATGACCTATATTATAATAAAGACCTATTATTATTATTATTAGGGATTTGTCATAGATAAGCTAGTGTAAACTAGAAAAGTCCGAGTGGTTGTTAGATGATGGTGGTGACGGTACACGATGTAGAGTACATACGTAAAACAGGACTCTACTGTTTGCTCCATATTAATTTTTTTAACCTCGTTTCAATATCACGTGAGCTTTTGTGAAAATAATGGGCGTATATATCCACGTCGTGGGCCGACCTGACAAAATAAAACAGTGCACCGTATCAATTGCAGTAGACGCGGAGGGTTCCGTATGATTTATGTGCCGCCGAATTAAAATGTTGCGCCACCGGGGAATGCTTAGCTAAGGCTGCGTTCACTCTCACAAGCGGGAGTGAGTTAAAATGTTACCAAATAATTTAACTTTTATCCAAAAATTAGGGTTAAAGTCATCTCGTGTTTGATGAGTGATCTAATTTCTAAGAGCATATTGGATTTAATAAAATTAGACGTGAAATTATTTGTATGTACCTATGAAACTTTGTTGACAAACAGCAGAGACATGTTTTTAATGGTTTGCATTATTATCTGGTGGCTTAGAGTTGTTACGATGAACTGCCGTACTATTATGTGTCGAGTGATGGCTGTCAAAAGTGAGCAGAACTGCTAATTAGTTATGTTGGAAAATATGTATTGGACCATATAGATTGTTTTCGGATTCATTCACAGATTTTAAGTGTGGTAGGGCCGAGGAGCAGCCCATGCTGTTGCAGTAACTGGCAGGTACGTTCGAGAAAGTACCACGGTGTCATAGTAGACTGGTATGAAGTGGAAGTAATATACTTTTGTATTTCGTCTGGTGAGTGAGATGGCCGTGGCTCACTTCCACGGCCATCTCACATAAAATAAATAAAGGTACATAATTCGTGAACTTACTTTATATTTAGACTTTCATAAATGCTTGAAACCAGCCTGGAACGATTAGTAATACGAATTTCGAAAAAAATTTACTCTTTCACAAAGGTGACAATGAAAAATATGATGTAACCCTTTTTAAATTTGAATTGAATTATGCACTAACGTGATTCCATTAAGCCAGATACTTCTTTAAAAGAAAAAAAATACTTATAAGACGTCGCAATAAACGCCAATGGCTCATAACGTAACCGCACCCCAAAACGGTAAGATCTGTATAGCAGTGAGCTGTTAATGCCGCCGTATCCAAACAAATCGCAGGCTTTAGTTGGCGACGTGTCCACTCTAGATTGAGCCACGGATTAGCCGCTCATTCCGTTTTTTTTTTTTAATTAAAAGCGATCGCGTTCTGTCAGAAATGGCCAGCTGCGCTTTTACATGGGTGTTTTTTGTTTTTAAATTTGCGTTGGTGCCGGCAACGGGGATCGAACTGATTTAATCGAGTATGTTAAATTAAAAACAAATGCCCGGTTAACTTTGTATAACATATAAATACTTAACATGAAATAATGAAATAAATACTTATCGTTAGGTAGGGATAATGTTAACGTATGAGATGGCAAGTAGATAGTCTGGTGCCTGTCCGGACAACAATTATAAAAAAACTATTTGATCATCAATCGGTAAGTAATAAAATCAGTGTGTAAAACAACTACTGCGAGTTTTTTAAAGTATTCGTAATATCCAGAATTTAATTAAATCTTTATACTAATTTAATTTAAGAGCCGTGATAGCTCAGTCTCCGGGCGCTCGCCTTTTATTCAATATATTCGAGTACCTGAGTTCGATCCCCGGTGCCGGCACCAATGAAGTTTTTAACTTTAAGTGCTGACTTATCACGTGCTCCGCGGTGAAGGAAAACATCGTGAGGAAACCTGCATATTTTCGAAATAATAACAAAAAAATATATATTTCGAAAATATGTGAAGTCCACCAATCCGTAGTTTGGCCGCGTGGTGGACTATGCCCTGATACCCTTTGTATAGAGGAGGCCTTTGCCCAGCAGTGGGACATGTATAGGCTATTACTTAACTTACTTAACTAATTTTATAATAATAGTCCCATTTTGCTTCAGTTTTAGATTTATTGTGTTAATTATTTTAAATGTAGGTATGGCATGAGTTCCATGTTTTGCTAAAGTTGTGTTTCTTTTACTTTTTACCATTTAACTATTTATAGTCCACGGACTTTATAAAGCGTTCATAACGCTGGGAATTAAAACCAAAGTTAAACGCAATTAAATCCTTAAAACATTTATATACATGTAAAAAGGTTTAGTGTTCGTTAAAACGAAAAATCAGGTTTTTATGTTATTTTTTTGTATCTTATGTTTTATATTAATTTGGTATTGACACGTACAGAAGTTCAAGTACTGTTTGCTCGGTTAAACTAAAGCTTACGGATTCGTGCCATAAATCCTCACAGCTGACGTCTCAGCGCACGATCCGCATTGCGGTAAGATACACCGTTGTTCAAAGGAGCAGCATTTTTGTTTTTGTTTTCGTCCTGCTGTTAATTAAAGGGAATCAGCTCATAGCCGCATTCTGGAAGCTCGATGATGTATTGCTTTGAACCTGAATATCGGGGGCCGTGTAATGAATTGGATAAGCGGCTGAAATATCACAGGTCTAGAGTCTTTTGGACCACGGCAAGTACTGCTTCAAGTTTAAGGCCGCTACCCACTCTATGGACGCATTTTATCCAAATTCTGTCCTCAATACAAGCATTAAAAAGAAATGGTTTAGCGTTTAATTGAATATAAACAAGAAAAATTGGCGTAACATGCGTTTGTATTTATTGTACTTTGACAATAAAGGGTACGATGTTTCCGTTTATATATTTAGTATGTCTTCGAGGGTTAAAAGATTTTATGAACTGAATTATAACAAGCGAAATATCAACGAATTATCTACTAGATAAGTGATAATTTACGTATCTTAGTAAAGTTGTAAACAAAAATTTTAGTGTAAGTTTTTAAACACGTCTCGATTCTGGCCTATCTCACGCCAATATTGATATCAGAATCTCATAACGATTAATTTAGTTGGAGCTTCCACCTTTACTGTGGTAGGGCCACGCAACAGTCTTCACTGTTGCACGAATGGGCAGATCCGTCCGGGTGCGTACTACGACCGCACAGAAGACCGGCGTGAAGTAGAAGTATAATACTTCTGCGTATCGTCCGGTGAGTGAGGTAGCCGGGGCCCACTCTATCATAAGGTGGCAACGTATCTGCAACTCAACGGGTGTTTGCAAATGTCAATGGTCTTAACATCAGGTGAACCGCCAATCCGCTTGCCTTTTTCAAATAATAAATTCTATACATAACATATTAAAGCGTTCCGTACTTACCCTTTCACAAGGTGCGGGTGCGTGCAACTGCCTCGCCTGACCCCTGCCCAGTGCCTCCCTCTTCCTCTGCGCGCTGAACAGCCTCAGCTCCTTCCTCTCCTCATCGGACAACGCGTGGCAGTAGCGGACCTGGAGCGTGGTATTTTTTTACCTTAAGCCATATTACTTAGGACACACATCAAATTGACTTCTCCATCTTTATTTATGAGGCTGTTCTGTCTTTGTGGTTGCAGCTATTAACTATATTATGTATACTAGAACCGTAATAGCTCAGAGTGAACATGAAGTCCGAACTCCGTTGCCGGCACCAATGAAATTGTTAATTTTAAGTGCTGACGTGATTAGTGGTGAAGGAAACTTGTATATCTTGGAAACAACAACCAAAACAAAATAGATTTGTGAATTCCACGTGATGGACTACGCCCTAATACCCTCTCTTGAACTACTTTACTCTACTTTTACTATATTGTCAACTACCTAGAAAGGGAGTAGTCCCAGATTAATATCTAAACAATCAAGTCTACTATGTGTCTACTTGTGATAAAAATTTAAAAATTGTGTGCCTTAAAGGAGAAATATAGCATGATGCATGAATAGGTTAAATCCCCCTGGAAGATTACGCCATGAATACAATAGACCGGTATGAAGTGAATTTGTTTAAATGCGCAATGCGTCTGCAATCGTTCTGCTATTTTAACTACGGGAAGCGAAGAATTGCTGTCATCTGTCCAAGGGAGATGGATCTTCATTATCATCATCATTCCTGTCTATGAGTGGATCTGGTGGATCTTATTTACTAAAAAAAGAATGACGTACCTCGTTGTCCTGCGGTGGCAGCTGTTGCAGAAGTTGCTTTAGCCTGTGCCTCTCGCCCACGCTGTTCACGTAGGGGACCTTGTCTTCAGGTATCGCCGAGAAGTACAAGTGTACCTAGAAGCAGAAGCAAGTAAATTGAGAGGTGGAACACAGTGCGTGTCTCGAGTAATTGCAAATTTCCAATCAATCGCGTAAGCCTCCTTAAACAATTGGTTTTACAAAGCATATCAAACCGGCTTACACCGGATTCAACTTTGTTTAAAACCAACGTAACAAGTCTCGAGTTCAGGAAGGAAAGAGTGACTCAATTGCCAGCATTCGTCTTTGAGTTAATATAGAAATATATAATGGGTGCCTTGAAGTTAGAATTAAATATGTACTGATTATGGTTTGAACTGATATGCAGCAGTCAATCTTTAATCAAATCATTTTAAATCATTGCCCTCCTCATTCTATTTACTTATAATAAAAGATAATACAAAACATAGGCTGACGGTATTAACTTTTACGAGACTCCTTTTAAATTATTAGTTATCGTATTTTTCAGAGTTCTACGTCGAGAGAAAATCGACCTGCATCTTGAATATTCATCGTCATCCTACTGCCCTTATCCCACCTAGGTGGGCTCGGCAGAAAAAGTGAATATCGGAAGCGTTTTTGGCAATTTTTTTATGACCTGCGACCGGAAAACAAACCTGACGTCACTGGAAAACAAATCCTCCCAGGTTACCCCTCCTTGGGAAACAAACATCCAAATCCGGACCAATTGTCTGTGGGTAACACAAGAACCGGTCCCGAGTGAGAATCGAACCTACGACTCCCGACGCAGCCATAAGCTTAGCAAATAAAGAGAAATAAAATAAAAATATCTGTATTTAAGTTACAATAAAATTAAAAAAAGGTTTTTCTTTTGTGTAGAGTTTACTTAAATAAATGTCCTTATATGATATCGAATAACACAGTATACATAATATAATTATGGCTCATTCACACAAACTGTCCGATTAGATGGACAGTTTGTGTGAATGAGCCATTGTATCAGTTAATTTATCAATTGATTTGTATATGTCGATGCATAAGTATGCAATAAGTATTGTTAAATAACAATAACACTTTCATTACCTTGGCACAGTTATTAACTTGAGTGTATCGATGCATCTTTTTGGTTTTCTTCCTGTTTGTTTTGTAAGATAAATTGTTATGCCTAATTCAATAGTTATATACACGATAAAGAAGAAGAACTGTCCATTCTACTTCTTTATCGTATAAAACCGGAATAAAAATTATTTTGGTTATCAGCGTAAATAATTACGATTATAGAATGTAAATAATATAAAATTTATAAAATTTTGAATATAAATGCTCTTTTTAATATGTTTGAGTGGTAAAGGTATAAGACCACTGGCGTTTATTGATATCTGCACTCGGCATACTCTAGTGTGTGCCTACTTCAAATGCAAGATAACGGCAATTTCTGTCTACGACCTAAACGGTAAAGTAAATTAAATAAATATTATAAGGAAATGAGCGTCCCCTCAGTAATACATCTTTGAAAAGTTAATAACGAGAGGAATGTATTGCGAGCATTATGACAGAGGCGTTAAGGGATCTATTGGTGAAATTTACGACACAAAAGATGATTTCGGAAACATTTTACGTAGTTTACAAAGCTACGGGCATGGCTCAAACACCTACAACAGAGCCTCATCGCAATTAAATAAGAATTTACTTTTGTGGTTAAGTCAATTTAAAGACAGTATCATAATATTTTATATTATATTATACTAGCAACCCGCTTCGGCTTCGCACGAGTGCCCGCGACTACGTCTGCGTGGAATAGGCTGAAGGCGTAACATTCAGACAGGAGGAAAGATATACATCAAATTTATGTATATAAATTATAACCTATGTCTTATTCTGATGTATAAACTATGTTATTGTAAAGTTTCATTAAAAACCATTCAGTAGTATTTGCGTGAAAGAGTAACGAACATCCATCCATACATACAAACTTTCGGCTTTATAATATTAATAGGAAAGTAAGGAAAGTAAGGATATAAACCTTCTTCGTGAATTACTCTATCTAGTAAAAAATCCGCGTCAAGATACATACATAGGGACACACAGACAGCGGGACGACTTTGTTTTATACTACGTAGTGATTTATTTATTTACTGCATCGGAGACGAACGTGAACAAAAGTTAAAATAAAAAAATAAAAATTAACATATAGCATGTGGATAGCTGCTCTCTTAACTAATGTCTCACTGAGAACAAATGTATATACAGCGTGTCGTTACCATCGCGACAATAAATGAACACACATATAGGGGATAACTTTTTAAAGTTGTATTAAACATTTAAATTCTTTAAACATCAATATTTACGGAGTTATTAAATTTTCCAAAACAAAGAATTTTTTGTACACCCTTACCTATAAAAGCGTAACGTAAAGTTCATTTGTAAAGGTCACAAAGCATATGAATGGGTTGAATGAATTTAAAAGAGACAAAACATACTGTTAGAAGGAGAGGCTTGTAATACGACGCTGTGACGTGAGTTGTATAGGATGTTACAATTTTTTTTTTTTTACTTAATTAGTTTGTTTGAAAAATACTTTTTTTTAATTATGGATTTTGTTTAACGTTAATATTTTTTTATGATTATTGGCAAGTAGCGTTAGACGTGTGTTCATTTATTGTCGCGATGGTAACGACACGCTGTATATTCATTATTTTTATTTATTTAAAAACTTTATGCACAATAACGTACAATGGCGGACTAACACCATTAGGTGTTCTCTACCAGTCAACCGACAAATAAGCAGAGAGAATAGGGAGGTGTTGAAGAATTGAAAGTATTGTATAAGTATGGAAATTTCTTTTCACGCACCGAAAGAGCTCTTCATAATTATTATTATATATACTGTGGCAGGGTCACACCTGCTGTTGCACGAATGGCAGGTCCGTCCGGGGTAGTACCACGGCCTCGCAGAAGACCGGCGTGAAGTTGCAGTTATATAATACTGCCGCATTTCGCCTGGTGTGAAGTAATCGGGGTCCACTTTTTAAACCGTTAACAACGCATCAGCAACCCTTCGTGTAATCACGTTACATCAGGTGAACTGCCAGTTCGTTTGCCAACTTTTCAATTTTATACGGCTATTTTTAGTTTAGAAATGATTTTATTATTATTTTGAAAATATGCCGATTTCCTTATGACGTTTCTGGACTATGCCCTAATTATTTTTGTACAGAAGAGGATTTTGCTCAATAGTGGGACATATATAATTTTATATACACTACGTTCACTTTAATTATAAGAAACCTATGTTACGTAGTGATTTATTTATTTACTGCATCGGAGACGAACGTGAACAAAAGTTAAAATAAAAAAATAAAAATTAACATATAGCATGTGGATAGCTGCTCTCTTAACTAATGTCTCACTGAGAACAAATGTATATACAGCGTGTCGTTACCATCGCGACAATAAATGAACACACATATAGGGGATAACTTTTTAAAGTTGTATTAAACATTTAAATTCTTTAAACATCAATATTTACGGAGTTATTAAATTTTCAAAACAAAGAATTTTTGTACACCCTTACCTATAAAAGCGTAACGTAAAGTTCATTTGTAAAGGTCACAAAGCATATGAATGGGTTGAATGAATTTAAAAGAGACAAAACATACTGTTAGAAGGAGAGGCTTGTAATACGACGCTGTGACGTGAGTTGTATAGGATGTTACAATTTTTTTTTCTTTTTTACTTAATTAGTTTGTTTGAAAAATACTTTTTTTTTAATTATGGATTTTGTTTAACGTTAATATTTTTTTATGATTATTGGCAAGTAGCGTTAGACGTGTGTTCATTTATTGTCGCGATGGTAACGACACGCTGTATATTCATTATTTTTATTTATTTAAAAACTTTATGCACAATAACGTACAATGGCGGACTTAACACCATTAGGTGTTCTCTACCAGTCAACCGACAAATAAGCAGAGAGAATAGGGAGGTGTTGAAGAATTGAAAGTATTGTATAAGTATGGAAATTTCTTTTCACGCACCGAAAGAGCTCTTCATAATTATTATTATATATACTGTGGCAGGGTCACACCTGCTGTTGCACGAATGGCAGGTCCGTCCGGGGTAGTACCACGGCCTCGCAGAAGACCGGCGTGAAGTTGCAGTTATATAATACTGCCGCATTTCGCCTGGTGTGAAGTAATCGGGGTCCACTTTTTAAACCGTTAACAACGCATCAGCAACCCTTCGTGTAATCACGTTACATCAGGTGAACTGCCAGTTCGTTTGCCAACTTTTCTCTTTTATACGGCTATTTTTAGTTTAGAAATGATTTTATTATTATTTTGAAAATATGCCGATTTCCTTATGACGTTTCTGGACTATGCCCTAATTATTTTTGTACAGAAGAGGATTTTGCTCAATAGTGGGACATATATAATTTTATATACACTACGTTCACTTTAATTATAAGAAACCTATGTTACGTAGTGATTTATTTATTTACTGCATCGGAGACGAACGTGAACAAAAGTTAAAATAAAAAAATAAAAATTAACATATAGCATGTGGATAGCTGCTCTCTTAACTAATGTCTCACTGAGAACAAATGTATATACAGCGTGTCGTTACCATCGCGACAATAAATGAACACACATATAGGGGATAACTTTTTAAAGTTGTATTAAACATTTAAATTCTTTAAACATCAATATTTACGGAGTTATTAAATTTTCCAAAACAAAGAATTTTTGTACACCCTTACCTATAAAAGCGTAACGTAAAGTTCATTTGTAAAGGTCACAAAGCATATGAATGGGTTGAATGAATTTAAAAGAGACAAAACATACTGTTAGAAGGAGAGGCTTGTAATACGACGCTGTGACGTGAGTTGTATAGGATGTTACAATTTTTTTTTCTTTTTTACTTAATTAGTTTGTTTGAAAAATACTTTTTTTTAATTATGGATTTTGTTTAACGTTAATATTTTTTTATGATTATTGGCAAGTAGCGTTAGACGTGTGTTCATTTATTGTCGCGATGGTAACGACACGCTGTATATTCATTATTTTTATTTATTT